CCTGGCATCTTCATCTCAACAGCCCTTCATTAAGAGGTAAGACAACAGTATTTGTTTGCTGTTAGAACTTTAAGAAAGTTTCCCTTGGATGCAAAAGCATGCCTGCTGGTATGCATCTCGGACCCAGCAGTACCTGCTAGAATGACCTACTGTTAGGTATAAATGAGGCCTTTCTATCCAAGGGAAGAACACACTAGATGCACACCAAATGCATACTGCTTCCCTACAAACAGGAAGAATTGAGGGTTTTCCCTCTTTCATATTCTGAAGAGAGGAAAAAGATAAAGTGAGCGGAGAGATAAATAATGCTTAGATGATATGAAAAACCAGAGAGAAATGTATTATTTCAAAGTCGTACTGAAAAATATACGTACAACAGTTATACAAGTGCATATGTAGAGCTGAAAGCTATATCACAAAAAAACACAGTGCCAGGCAAGAGAACCCTCACTTTCAGTTGCTGGGCAAGGTAGTCCAAGAGATTCCCAAAATAACATAGGCTGCCACAGTCCTTGATTGCCTCCTGGAACTTGAAGGTAATACCCTATTGCTGAAGACAGGACATATTTCAACACAGGACTTGGAGCAATAGAGCTAGAACTATCCTGGAAGCCTCCTCCCTAAAGACTAGCTCTCATGGTATCAGAGGTTACTATACAAGCTGCCAAGGGAGAAAACCAATCAATAATCCTACTGGACTATGAAGTCTAATAAACAATGACTGGCCCAGATACTATCAATATTGGTACAATAGTGTACTTTTTTCTTGGGGGTAATCAACAGCTGTCTAATTCGAAATAAGTCCCATTCAATGTGAGGGAGCTCATGTGTGGTACTGTAAACATAGCCAAATACACTTGACTGAAGAGGTCAAAGATCCTAGAGAAAAACCTACTTTTGCCACATTCTTAGACCAATGCAATGTCTTAATTTATTCTAAATATGCATCCTTATACCTACAGACACATGTACCTTTCACCCTTCATCAAAGAAGCTTCTTTTTGCAACAGATGGAGACTATTACAGAGTTCTAGTACTGGCCAAACATAGAGAATAAGTATCTGTGAGACACTTAACACTAAGTGACACATCTTCAATGCAACCTCTACTCACAGGATGAATGCATCTCTCAACTCTCACCAGAGAAGTTTCCTTATGTAGCAGATGGTGATTAACACAGAAACCCACAAAAAGCCAATGTGCAGAAAACAGGCTATAGAGTGCTTATATACAGTTATTAGCTGCCACGTGGGTGCTGAGAACCAAATCCAAGTCCTCTGCAAGAGCAGCAGTGCTCTTAACCACAAAGCCATCTCTCCAGCCCTAAGATGAAGAATTATTAATATCTGATAGAGAACAGGCAATAGAAATTAAAGCCAGTGACAAGAGGTTGGAGAATATGAGTAACATGGAACAAAATGGGATTTTGTGTGTGTGAATAACAAACAAATTCCCAAAAGGAAACCTTGGGAGGTGATAGATATATTTATGTTTTTGGTGTTGATAGCCTCACAAATGCATAACTTGTCCCCATATATACCAAACTGTATGCATTAAATATGAAGTTTTTTATATACCAAGTACTCCTTAATAAAACAGTTGGGGGGGGGGTAAAGAAACCTCAAGGAGTAGAGAAACCCCACATGCCATTAATGTCTAACAGCCTGAGAAAAGTTATTAACATGTGCAACAAATGCCAACTTCTTAAGAACAAGAGATTCCTTGCAGTGGCTTAAAACTTCTTTCTTGTTACCAAGACCTCACTATCAAGCAGGATAGAGGGAACAGAGGAAAGAATACGAAGATGGATCACAAGCTATAAAAGACTAGGTTATCAAACCTCAAGCAATGAAGTTCGTGGTGTTTTCACATTCTGGTGCTGTGTCTGGGTTTTTGTTTTTTCACCATGCCATGCCTTCTATACTAGCTTTTGAAATATTTAATCCCACTCAAAGAACTAAAAATAATTTTACACCAGGGGACATGACTATGACTACAGCCACACCCACAAATACCACAAGTTAACTTTCCATTTTTATTCATTAAAATCAACATCTGTTCACTTATTTAGCTAAGCTACCAGTATAAATTGTAAAGGGGGAAAAAAATCTATAGTGGAAAACAAAAATGTTTAAATGTAAGTTCTATCTGACTTAAATTTCTGTAAGTTCAGACTGCCAAGAGCCATCACTTTCCATTATCCAAGGGTGGCTGGTGTCATAAAACAAATAGCTCTAGTTAAGGCTCAAAATGGCTGTCTTCAGGAATCATGAACAGTGCACTGTCAGAGAAAAGTCTTCCTTAATTTTCTATCAGAACCACCACAGTAAGGACAACATACGTTCAGACATCACTCTCAGTCACTGCTTATCAAACTAATCTTACCCAGCCAGCCTGGTCATTTCACGCCCAGCCAAAACTATTCGACCCAAAGCTTGAGACATCCTCAAAAGCATTCTTCCACTTTGGTAGTAATCCTTAAAGAGAAATAAGTATTAGATTTTGCTCCCATTTGTAAAATGAAAATAAGGCCATAACTGTGCATCTTCATTGCATTACTATCATTACTTCACCTCTAGGAGCTCTGAATGTGTACTCTGAAGATGCCGAGGATGAGACAAATCCAGGAAAGGATGGCTGACAACTAAGTAACCGACTACAGTGGCAATATCTAGAACAAAACAGTTAAGATTTAAAATGTCATCATGTCTCTTTCCCACAAATTATACTGTATCATCTCTTTTAAAACATACTTACATTTGGCAATGATGCTATCAATGAATCCCATAGAAAACCGAAAGAAAATGAAATTATGTAGGTGTTCCACCTGACAGAAAACAAAAGAAAAATATATTTTTCTTTGCACATAAAAATTTAATTGTCCCTGAAGATAAAGCAGACTGTATAGCTCATTAATAAACATGCATTTACTGAGTGGCTAGATTTCTGGCTCTTTGATACACTACACTTTGCTGAGTACAAGCCTGAGTACAAAACAGATGCCAACCAAACACTTCATCAAACCAGTCTTAAACAAACAGGATGGAAGTTGCACAATTTTAACAATGTTGTTTCCCTTACACATAAAACACAATCCGTACTTATATTCACAATATTGCCAGACAGATATATATTCAAATTCATCAATAACCAAAGCAGAAAGGAGGGCTGAACTAATTCAGACACAACACTAACTGTCCAAACTGGTACTTAGTGGTTAGCTTTGATGGAGACTTTTGGACTGTGCTTTATCTTGAGTTAGATGCCACCTAATCTGAATGCAGTGTCACACAGTCTGAGTCTGTAACCTTAATCTAAGCATGGCTTACCTCAAAATTACAAGCCTAAAAAACACTTCTGATTCTGCAGTTTTAAAAGGTTCAGACCTCCCATCACCTTATTCAAGGTGTCGCATGGTTGGGCCAACTGGGATGTTTTCAAGGTCCTCCGCTTTTACTTTGCTCTTTCCTGCTGAGCTCCAGAAACAATGGTGCCTGGAGCTTGTTCCTCTCTTAAGGCTCCCTCCTGCTGTTCCCTCTACCACCAATGCTTTCTTTCTAGATATTTACATTTTGTGACTAAATCATACTTCATGTGGGTTTCTGATTAACTATAACTGCCTCAGGAAAGACTTCTTGGCCATTCCAGTTCAATAAATTCAGCAATAGCCTCCATCACACTCCATCCCTTTATTCTACTTCATTTTAGTCACAGAATTTATTACGATCTGAAATTACATAGACCATTCAATTGCTTATAAATTAACTATATTTTCCACTCAAGTGTGGACTTGCTAAGTACAAAGAGGTTTGTTAGTGTTATTAACACTAACTAGCCTTTAATCTAGCACTCAGGATGCTAAGTGCTATAACTTTGAGGCCAGCCTTGGCATAATGAGTTTGAGGTTATCCTGTGCTACATACACAGAACAACCAGACATCAAGCAACAAAACAAAACAAAACAAAACAAAACAAAACAAAACAAAACAAAAAACAAAACAAAACATACCAAGTTAATTATAAACTGCAAATTGCATTTAAGGAAATACAATTTAAAAAGAGAGGGAACTGTCAGAAGCCATTTCAAATATGCTAATCAAAAGGCAAAGCCTCAATAAAATATTAGTAAACCATAGGTTGAGACCAAAAATAAGCAATAAGAAAAGCAAGCAAGTGAACAGCAGTCTTTGGACTGAAGTGCTGCTACAAGTGCACTTTATCAACGAACACCGTTAGGAACTCAGTCAGGGCTGGGCACGGCAGCACATGCCTTTAATACCAGCACTGGAGAGGTAAAGGCAGGCGGATCTTGAGGCCAGTCTGGTCTCCAAAGGGAGTTCCAGGCCAGTTAGTGCTACAGGGATATCCTGTCTCAAAAAACGAAACAACAACAAACTTGATCATGTTAAAAGGCAAAAATACAATTTTTTAAATATTATTAATTAATTAATTTATTTATTTATTTATTTAATGTGTGTGAGTGTATTGCCTACATGTATATAAGTGCACCGGTGCTATGAAACATCCATGGAGGTAAGAGGAGGGTGTTGGATCCCCTGGAACTGGAGATACAGATAGTTGTTAGCTGTCATGTGGGTACTGGGAACCAAACCTGGGTCCCCTGCAAGAGCAGACAGTGCTCTTAACCATTGAACCACCTCTCCATCCCCTCAAAACTCAATTTTTGAAACAACCTTTTAATCCTCTTAAAACACATATAATTTCACAAATTACCACTAAATGTTAACTTCCTGAAGGCAAGATTGATCCATCATGTTTACCACCTAATTATCATTATCACCTAATGATGGCCACCTACCAAGCACCCTAGATGGTACTTAACATCTTTTCATGAATAAAATTACTTGAATTCAAAATTTCTAAGTAGAGAAAAATTGTTTTTAAAGAAATCGCTATATCCGAAACCAAACGTCAGCAAACTATGACCCACAGTGAAAATTCAGCATGTCACTTGTTTTGTAACTTGTTTCATTAGCAAAGTAGCACAGCCACAGTCACTCATCCATGTATTGTATGTGACCATCTGAGCAGTAAAGCTGAACAATCTAAACATATTTAAAATCTATACATATTAGTCTGTCCTCGATAGAGTTTGTTGACCCGTTCTACATAATCTTTACCGATCTGTGGGAACCACTAAATTATTGACTCAATAAGGCTCCTTTAGTAGTTACCATAAAGATACATTTAGGATTATATTAATAAATCTATCCATTTAATGAATAGATATGATAGTTTTTAAACTCATTTTAAATTTAAAATACAATATAAAGACTCTTGCTATTTAAAATATACACCTTTAAATAACTATATATAATATTTATACATATGCATAAATAAAAAAATACATAAACCTCAAGTACAAATCTTACCAGTTTTCGGAAGACTGAGTGGATTGTCTGCTTTTCTCTTTTATTCCCATTGTAAAAGGCGATTTCCTCACTATCAAAGACAATAATTTAGAAATTAACTTCAATCTTACCCAACCCTAGAAAATAACTGAAATGCAGCATTCAACGAGGCATTGCTACTTATATTTTTCTGTTGTTCCTTCCTCTTTCCTATAATTTCACTTGTAGTCTATGTCTGCCCCAGCCTAAATGAATTGGTCTTCATGCCACAGTATCTTCTTCTTCTGCCTCATTTACAATTTGTGAGCATCAGTCCATTGTACCTTTTACAGGCAGGTTTCATATGACATAGGTGGAAGTCCAGTCTGTGTTCAGTCTGGTGTGCTCCTGTACTCCCATCATCTTTGCTAAGAGCTAAAGCTCAAATACAGTTCTTGGCTTGACTTACACCAAGTATGTTCTTAGTTATATCTATGTATGATTACTCATTTATTTTATTATTATTATGGGGGGGAGTGCCATGGAGTACATATGGAGGTCAGAGGACAACTTTGTGGAATTGGTTGGTTCTCTCCTACTTTTATGTGGTTTGGAGGATTGAACTCAGCCCATAGTGTCTGTTTAAGCACAAATGAAAGATGAAAGGGTTTTTTTTTTGTTTGTTTTTTTGTTTTTTTTTTGATACATGGTCTCCCTGTAGCCCCAGATAACCTGGAACTCACTATGTAAACCAGGCTAGCCTTGATCTCACAGAGATCCACCTGTCTTTGCCTTCACAGACCTGCGACTACAGGTGTGCACCACCATGCCTAGCTGAAAGGTATCTCTTAAAGAAATACCAGAAGTAATGTCTCCTCTTTGTTTCTGGACCATTTTGCAAGGGAGAAAGGTTGGTGATACCTGGAACTGCTTTTGCCATGTTGTAATCACAAGAATTAACTCAAGTAAAGGGACAGAATACAAAGCAGGACAGAGCCAAGAGAATATTCAATAAGAGCCACAGTTGATCCTGCTGTCCCTGGGACTGCTCTGTCTTAAGGGATCTTATGTGAAGCACCTAATGTCTCTACTGCTGGAGCCTTTTGGAGCGATGTTTGCTTTTATAGCAGAAAGCATCCTATATATCATGTTTTACCTATTCTACCCTATATTCCCCTACCTACCTATAGGATGAAATTCCATATATAAAATTAGTAACATTAACAAACCAAGCAAGTAAGGGAAGAGGGAACTATTAAGAGAGTAATTTCTAAGTAATTTTGTAACTTCCTATCGAATAATCTAGTACTAAATAAATATTAGGACCCTCAAGATTGACTTACAATAGATAGATGGATACATGAAAATTTAGAACACTTGCTCAAGATCAAACACTGAACTAGAAGCATGTATATAAAACATAATCTTTACAACAATGGTATTGTCTACTTACTATAAAAAAAGCAAAGTTAGACAATAACTTACTAAAATCATGTAATATACAACTGGTAAGTAGAAGGGGCAGATTTTGAAACTAGTAGGGAGGCTTCCAAGTTTTGTTTTTTTTTTTTCCTATTTTAGATTTCATCCATCTGGAGCTCAAAGGACATTACCTCAGTGATACAGTACCTGCCTAGCATTCAAGAGGTCCTGAGGCCCCAATCCTAGCACCTCTTCCCTGCTCCCACAAAAAAAAATCTGGAAAACAGAATTATGGAGCACTACAAACAGTCACACCTTTAAAATGTTTACGGATAAATTAAGGCAAAGCTTTCTTTGGCTAACTACAAGCAAATTTCAATTTGAATTATGACTAAATTTAAAATGAAATTTTAATCAGTTAACAGAAGACATGAAGAGGTAGATCAAGGAAACTACATGGCTAATAAGAAAAAGGCTTTGAAACAAGGGGGAATTTCTACTTATAAAACCTATCCTTCATAATGTCTATTTTCAGAACAAGGAGAAATCCACACTATTTCAGTAATTGCATTAATAGCTTTTTCAGAGTCAATACAAGTAACATCAATATCCATAAAATAAATTTGCATTAAGTTTTAATAGGTTTCTTCTTACCTATTTGTGATAAGTCGGGAATTGACATATCTATATTCACCTTCATACTTCTGCTCTGTTATTGTCATCTTACCAATTGGTCTTCTAAGACGAGTTAGAAATAGCCCAGAAATAACCAAGTAGGCCATCATACTTGCTGGGCCCTATTATTAATGAAAGAATGATACACAGAACTTAAGGACATTATAAAATCCAATGGGTGCAAACATGTAGAATTGCTATAATTAACTTGAGACTTTGAGAGAAGCTGTTCCTTTTATTATTTTGTTTCTTTCCTGAAAAAAAGAAATGGTAGCCTCTACACTTCCATTATGTACTCCAACCCCTGTAGCTCCCCACCCCAACATCTGCTCACCTAGAAACTCCTATTTATGGTTCTTACCATCTGTCATCCATCTTCTGCTGGAACTCGTCTTGCTACTCTCGCTCAAGACAGCACAATAATTCTCAGAGCTCTTTTTTGCTTTCTATTTCAGTGTTAATGTTCCCGTGAATTCCTTCCTCAGCTCTCTTCTTATCCTAAATGTATACCGCTAGTCCCAATCCTTCTTCACAAGATATTATTGTGAAGTAAGTACCATATATCCTCACCTCAATGTATAGATGTCTCCAGTTCAATTCCCTTAAACAAGCTAGCTGCCTTTCTCAGCTTGTATGTACAGCATGCTTTTGGTTTCTTTATTTTCCCACTCTGTAAATGACCTCATAACCCACTGACCATCTTGTGAAGCTTCAGCTCATCTTGAGCCCATACTTCGAGGATGTTCTTACATCTGACAAGCTTAACCAATCTAATGGACATCTAAATATCTCCTCAAACAGCTCAAATACTAGCTCCATTTCTTATAGTCATAAATACTTCCTTGAAACTTCCATTATTAGACTTAACAGCCTTCATTATAATGGCCGAAGAACTACTTTTCCACCACTGTATAGTAATTTCTCTTCAACAGGAACTCACTCACTTTCTATCTAGCACAGTGTAAATGGATGTATGTGTATCAAGACTTCCAAAATTTTTCAAAATCTAATTGATTCAATGTATTTCAAGAACTATAGCAAATGAGCCAGAGATGCTAAAACTGCTTTTAAGAAATGCAGGCTCAAATTTGTATGTAAGTTGATAAAAATGTAAGAAAACTAAATTACAGCACAGAGATAAGAAAGATGAGTAGGTCTATTCACTTTCTTATGATACAATAAGCTATGAGAATGATTAAACCTGAATCACAGAGTACTAAAGAGAAAAATAGAAAATTCAGCAAAAAACTGCTTTCCCATGTTCTGGAAAAGCAATAAAATCTACCAAGTAAGTTATTAATCAACAATAAAATACATAAACACATATACACAGATACATAAAATCAACACACTGTTACATGGTTTTCTATAAATATATAACAATAATATTAAAATAGTGATTAAAGTTAGACTTCATTGAAAATATTTAGAGAAAAGAGATTCTTGTCACCACAAATACCAGAGATGGGAGGATAAGACTCATGGACTAGCCAACAATTTATATTATTATAAAACACTCTTATGACTATTATACTCATTCTGGGTCTATTGCTCAAACTTTATTCTAATTTTATATTAAAATGGTTTACTACCAAATCTATTTTTTGACATCACTTTGCAACAAAAAGTGTCCAATGTGTGCAATGTATGGTTAAGTACTTCTGGTTACTACTTCCAGAAAAAAAAAATTCAGTATTTGATTTAAAAGATATTAAAAGGCCAAATTAGGATTTTTTTTAATCTCTAGCATAGTATTATTTTATAACCACATTAGGTATGTTTAAAATGTTTCTTCTTTGAGATATAAAAAATTCTTCAACCATCACATTTATCACAAAACAGTATTGTAGCATTTTTAAAAGTAGACCAGGGCTTAGTCAATAGATGCTTGCTACCAAGTCTGAGGATCTGAGTTAGATCCATGGAATACCATATGGTAGAAGGCAAGAGCCCTCATATTGTCATCTGCCCTTCACACACATACCATGGTAGGCACACACACACACACACACACACACACACACACTAAAAGTAGACTCACCTGAGCTCCAATTGCACTTGTTAACTTGAAAATATACAAAACTATGTCTAAAAATGGCTGTAAAATAAACATAGAATATATAGAATTAGATTTTTTGTCTCACATTAAGAAGCTAGAAATATTTTTAAAATTCAAATATATTTAAAGGTACTGACAAAAAAAAATAATTCATAATTATCAAACCAACATTTAAAACAGCAAACACAGCCAGGTGTGGTGGCCAGTCTGGTTTATGTAGGGAGTTCTAGGTCAGCTAGGGCTACAAGGAGACCCTGTTTCAAACAACAACAAACAAACAAACCCAAACACTATAATGAACTAATTTCATAACACTTCTCTACTGCAGTGTGACAAGATATGAGCTACAGATTTGTTCAAATGCCAAGATGAAAGAATATATAATAGTCTGCAGACAAAATTTGCTTGAATCTTGTATTAATGATAGTGAAGAAGAGAAGTGCTAGAGAAATGGCTCAGTAGATAAGCACTTGCTATACAAGCCTGACAACCTGAATTCAGATCTCCAGAACCCACATAAAAGCTGGACAAAGTAGCACAAACACCTGTAATCCCAGCATGTCCCTACCGTGAAAGGAGCTGAGATAGGGGATTACCAGAACCAGAGGGACCCTGTCTCAATCCAGGTAGACTGGGAGAGCTGATGGTGGAAGCTGTCCCGATCTTCACATGCATGCTTTGGGATTGGCCCGCATGAACACACACACACACACACACACACACACACACACACACACGTGTGCACACACAAACACACACTCTCGCAGAAGAAGAGACACAGAAGTGTCTTGTCTAGTTTCATGGATGTGGAACTATAAATACAGCCTGAAGGGGCTGGAGAGATGGCTCAGTGGTTAAGAGCACTGGCTGTTCTTGCAGAAGACCCGGGTTCGAATCCCAGCACTCACATGGTGGCTAACAGCTGTAACTCTAGCTGTAGGGAATCCAACACCCTCTTCTGTCCTCTGTGGGCACTGCACAACACGGGCACACTAACACACATACAAGCAATATGCTCATACATGTGAAAAAACAATAATAATAGGAGAAAAGAAAAAATAAATAAAAAAAGAAATACAGCCTGAGAAGCTGACCTGCAACAACTGCTAGAAGTTACTTACAGGTAAAGAAAGCATATGACTGAAGTCAGCATAAAACTCTTATAAGATCTTCATATGACACTATTAATTCTAAGTCAAAACACTTCACAGAAGATTTTTAAGTTAAGTAATTATATAATTAAAACTATTATAATTGTTCTAATTTTCTTTTAAAAGAATTATTTATATGCTGCTCTTCTACCCAATCAATTCTATGTAAATTTGCTTGGATTAAAAATTCAACAAATCTAACAAGGAAATTTTTCTTAAGTAGGTAAACTTACCTTGCTAAGATTTGAATACAGATCAACTACACTGTTACAAAATTTTTCTACATCTTGTGTAAGCAGCTGGTCTGGATTGGCTATTCTGTTGTCCAGGTTTCCCATTTTATAGTATGTGAAAGCTCTAAAATAGCAATTAGACAATGATTTTAGAACAAGTGATTACAGAAAACAGTACATGTTCACATCACACTACCTACTGCAAGAACATACAGAGAGTTTGGAGACCCTTAGGATTGTCCTAACAATGTTAGAACAGAGAAGGGTGTCCTGGCAGTTAATAAAAGCCAGGACCACAGTTCCAATCACTGATAGGTCACTCCCAAATACGCCCCTAGTCTCAGAGCCATTTTCTTAAAAAGATACCTTATAAATAAAGAAAACCCTCTAAAACCACAGCATCACAAACATCACTGTTCAATTTAAGTACTTAGAATTTTAAAACAGGGTAACACTTACTGGAGATATTCCTCATAGAGGTATCTAGTGAGTCTTACACGGAAGCACAGTTTGAGTTCATTTAACCCATACTTCAGGAAGTTATTAACCAGAGATATCTAAAACAAACAAACAGATATTAATGGTTTTGCTTCACTTCTACTTACTAAACTGCAATTTACTTCTCCATTAGTTGCTGTATCTGCAAGTTCTGATTTGTGTGACTGTTAGTTCAAATTATAATTCAACTCTATTTTATTGAGAATTTATAAATATAAAAAGAACAAGCTAAATCACATGCAATTGGCTTAAGTTAAATATATCTGGAGTTTAATTTAAAAATATTATTAATTATGAGATCTATATTGCCATTTTAGGGAGGTAAGTAAAAAATACAAATCTTTCACACACACACATTTTTAAACAGGGTCTCACTATGTAGCCCTGGTTGGTCTGGAACTCACAGAGATCCTCCTGACTCTGCCTTCTGCCTCCAGAGTGCTGGGATCAAAGGTATGAGTTACCATACTCAATTCAAATCTTTCATTGTTCTAACTGAGGTAAAGACCTGACTTCAGAAGTTCAAATACTTACATTTATACTTCCTATCAACACTGCCCTAGACAACGGAATTCTATTCACACTATGTGTCTTGCTTAAACAAAACTGGTATAAATTTTATACGATCTAATGCTATTTTCCAGGCTACTTCTAGAATCATCCTCACTAACCTTTTCCATTATTAACATTAATTCCGCGATGATTTCCTAGTCTAAACTCAACAGCACTCAGAGTGTCCTAATGCTATGGCGAGAACAGTGGTTTTATACTGAATCCCAATCTTGATGTCTGATGCTTATCTCAATTCTTTATTTTGAAAGGTTTAAAACTTCTGCATGCCCATTCTTAAGCTTTAGTAAGCTAGAGTTTAATTAGATTTCACAAACAAGCTTCTCTTTTCTCCCCTCAAATCTGCAACACGAAATGTCTTATAGGGCCAATTTTTAAAAAAAAAAAAAAAAAAAAAAAAAAAAAAAAGGACCAAGCTAAGAAAAGCATTATGTTTTAAATTAAAACAGGAACACTGTCTGCTCTTGCAGAGGACCCAAGTTGGATCCCCAGCACCCACATGGTGGCTAGCAACCATCCTTATTCCAGTTCCAGGGGATCTGAAACCCTCTTCTGGCCTCCACAGACACTGTATAACTCAAGTGCATTTACAGGAAGGCAGGTAGGCAGGCAGGCAGGCAAAACACTCATACACATGAAATACAAAAAAAAATTTTTTTAATTTTTAGCAAATTTGTAAATAAATTCAGATAATAAATCCCAATTTAACAGTGGCTCAAGTTACAGTAAGTTTATGTTTTAAATTAATAGCTCTCAGATGATTTGCCCTGTATCACTCCCAATTTGGCAAACTAGAAATATTTTAGCCCAAGTGGGAAAGGGGTGTTACTGTCATTTAACAGAATGCTGCTAAACATCAGAGAAAAACTGGTTAGGAGAGAAAGGGAAGGAGAGAGAGAAGGAGGGAGGAGGGGAGGGAGAAAAAGAAAAAAGGCAGAAAATAGAGAAGAAAAAAAGTATGATCACATGTATCCTAACATAAATTATTAAACTAAACACAATTTAAGTTTTCAGTCAAGTATAAAAGTTTACACTGAAAAATTAAGCTATAAACTACAAAATTTGAACTTAATATCACAAATCTTTAAAGAATTTATTAAGTAAAAGTTCTTAAAGCTGTTAAGAATCAGTAAGGCTTTTAAGGAAGTGAACTTACAAGAGGCATGGCAGCGATGAAGTTGAGTAAGTATCTCTTGAAATCTTTTCTGCTACGACCAATGATACCACTGCAAACCACCACATGCAATGCATTAGATGCAAAAGAAGTAAAACCTAACACCAGAAAACTATAAGGCTTTAAAATTATTCTTGGGAATTTCTGCTGAATCAAATAATTTTAAAAAATGAAAAAATTCTTACAAACATGTTTTCAACTTTTGAAAAATTATTTCAAACAGCTTGCTTGAATTTGACTCTATAGACAACAAGGTGAAATAAAAATGGTATCCTAGGGGCTACAGATGTACCCAGTGGTAGAATCTGTGCTTAGTTAGCATGTGCAAGGTTCTGGGTTAGATTCCCTCAAACCACCCACACACACACACGACACACACGACACACAAGTTTAAGCTGCTATAAATGAAATCTAGATGGTGAATCGACTAACAACTTTATAGCCCCAAGAATTCTGGGATACTATGGATAAATTAAATAGCTGCTTGCTTCAAATATTTTAGCACCCTTGATTCTCACTGAAATGAACTAATGATGGCAAAAAGACTAAAGAGAATCTGATGAGCCAATTTTTACATTAAAGGGCCTAGTCTAAATAGTCTAGGCTTTGTGGGCCTTAAAGTTCTTGTTGCAACTATTCAATTCTTCCATTAATGGAAAATAAACAGCCTAGACAACCTGATCAAACTCTACTAAAGGTTTCTCAGAAGAGAAGGTGAGTAATGAGACTTCACCTGTGGGTCCTGGGACTAGTTGACACATCAGAGAAGCCTCAGAATAGTTCTGTAGAGGCTTCAGGTCCTTTGACACAGTTCAACAAAACCACCTCCTCTTTTATCTGCTTTTGGTCTGTTTTACATATTTATGCTTTTAAAATACATACTAAGAACTTAAAGTGAGGGCTTTACTACTTTAAAAATTTATAAGCCATTATGATGAGTATACTATGTGTATGAATGTATTAAAAAGACATGACTTATTTGATCACAGAATTTTCTTTTCAAAGAATCCTTATTAATATCCCCAAATGTAATCGCATATATATTTGTGAAACACTGCAGTTATTTTCCTAGATCTCTAAAGTCTATGACTGGTATATGATAAAGAAATATTTCATTTTTATGAGGGAGTAGGAAAATAAATTTGGGGAATTCTGGGTTAAACAAAGTTAACAAACATCTTTACTGAAGAACTTCTCAAAGATTTTAATATATAAAAATCTAAATGATGTTTATAGTATGCCATATTTCCTTAACAAAACTTTTAGGAAATGTTATCTTAGACTAATAGAAAAACTTCAAGAGCCAATTTTGCTATAACTCTCGAAACACTGTTGTTTTTTAATGGCTGAATCAGAAGAAAGTTAAAATGGAACTGCACAAAAACAGTTTGTAGCATTAAGAATGCTGGAAACATGAAGCAATTAGAACAGTGCAAAAAAGCTTAGAAGCTTAAGTTAAAATGGAACCAAACTACAGAAGACCACACTCTAGTGCTTCCCAAGCTGTGAGACACTCAGATCGTAACACTGTGGTAAAGCACATGCCACCGTGCAGCACTGTTTACCACTGGAGTAGCAGCTATAAATTTAAAAAATGGCTCCTTGAATAAAGCCATATTTCTGCTTATTATTCCACTGCAAAAGAAAAAAATTAACAAAGTGTAATCTAGTCATTGTTACTTCCAAAAGATATAAGGATATGTAAAAAAGATTGTTTGGTACTTTTACAATATGTTTATAGCCTACTAGATGAAAGTACTAGATGAAATATATCTTCATGGTTCGATAAAGCAGCAACAGCTAGGAAGGCTTCCTCACACTATTTTCTATCTTACAGACGCTATCTTAATATGATTTCCCATTCTACAAACTTTTCAGCCATTACAAACAAATAAGTCTTAAATATGAAAGAAATTAAAATGAAGTACATTAAGAACTACAAGCTTCCTGGAAACTCTAGACCTGCTTAGGAAGAGCCAAAAGGAAACAACAGATAAATTCATTCACAATGTAGCTTTCATAGTGAGACAGAGAACTGTGTTAATTTTTCAAATTAGTGCACTATGAATGTGCAATACTTAAAATATTTCAATTTTGACAATTATTAAATATTAATATTTAACCAACTATCAAAGAGTCAATACATGACAGAAGTAAAAAATATTTTACTTAGGAGAAAGTTAACAATAAACTTTAAACTGGGCATTTTACAATTGGCAAATAAGGACTAAATGTATGAGAAAGTTCCCTGCATTCTTGCAACTTTTCTACATATTTCAAGAATATCAAAATTTTGTTCTCTTTTATTTTGAACAGGGTCCTATAATACAGCACAGGATGGTCCCAAATTTGCAATCCTCCTGCGTAAGTCTCCTTAGAGCTGGGATTACAGGTGTATGCCACCATATCCAGTTCCTGTGCGTGTGCGCGTGCATGCGTGCGTCTGGTAGGGGACAGGCGAATCCCAAAAAAGAATATTAAGAAAAATAAATAAGGTAGCTGGAGAGGTGGCTCATATATTAAAAGCACTGGCTGCTCTTGCAGAGAACCTGGGTTTCATTCCCAGCACCCACATGGCAGCTAACAACGGTCTTTAACTCCATCCAGTTCTAGGGACTCTGACGCTCTTTTCTGATCTCTCTCGAGAGCACTGCACAACACAGGCACACTTACATACATGCAGGCAATGTACTCATACACATTAAAAAAAAAATACAGTTAGAACAACAGCCAATAGGTTGACTAACAGAATTCCAAACTGGCTCACTACATGGCTTTCCTTTTGTCTGCCATCATCAGTTAAATTATGTGTCACCTACTTTCGGCAATGCATTTTCCAGGTTAGTACGAATTTAAGAGAATCAACTCAATAAAAATTGGAACTTGCCCACATATGAGTCCATATCAGGCTGTTACCACACAGAAAGCTCTGAATTTTAAATTATGTTTTTTAATTCCTTGAATATTTCTGTATGCTGTAACTTTTTTTGTAAGTAAGTACTAATGAACTTTAATTTTTAAAAACTGGAAATCCTTAGTTTATGAAAATTAATACTGTTTTGGATTACAAAATCATCAATTTATAAAACCTGAATGAAAGGAGAAAACTTCAGAAAGATAATTTTTCATCTTAGTCTTTGAGATAAAGTAATTTTCAAGTCTGCAGCATTCTTAATGTGAGTCTATACAGGTACTTAATATGATGCTTGTATTAAACATAAACTGTACAGTTTGCCACAGGCAGAAAATGTTACAGTTGAGGAAACTATACTAGTTGGAAAGACACTTAAAATCACAGATAAAATTATCAAAGGAAAAGATTTTTAATTTTATAAATCACATGAAAGAACAGAAATGTTTTCTGTACATCTATTACATAAAAGCCTTACATTACCTGGGCATACAGCTTATATAAACAGAGCTGGGGGGAAAAAACAAACTTCTCCTAGAGCTGATATAGTAGCAGCAATGAACAAATGAACATTTCAATGCATTTACGCTTAATGTCTTAGAATGTCTGAGTCCTCACTAAGCACATGTGTGCATGCGTTTACAAACACAAGTACACTAACACACACACACACACACACACACACACACACACACAAATAAGATTCAAAAATACCCTTCAAGAGAGACCAGATGATCAACAAGCCTTAACTTTTAACTTTAAAGCCTTCACCTTTAACTGTGACTTCTTGGCCTAGAGTCACAGGCTGCTTGAGGAGATCCTCTAACATTTACAAAGACCATCAAGGAAAACCTGGGAGCTAACTGACAAAACAAAATAACAAAGAAAAAATTAATGGCTTTATAAATGAAAAAAATGCTTAATTAGAAAGCATGCTATAGAGGCTGGAACACTGGCTGCTCTTGCAGAGGCCCCAGGTTCGGTTCCCAGCATCCATATAATGGATAACAACCATCCTCAACTCCAGTTCCTTGAGAATCTGACATCCTCTCTGGCCTCCATGAGCACTGCACAACACAGGTACACTTTTATACACGCAGGCAAAACATGCACACACATAAAATAAAAATAGAAAACGTGCTATAAAAATGAGCTTCCATACAAATGATAGCTCCTGGAAACAAAACCATAACAAAATTCACAGGAAAATAAATTTAAAGAAATTTTCTAGCTAAGAGAAATGAAGTATCAGACACGAAAATAGAAGAAGAGAAAATTAAAGATGAGATGACTAAGGATTCCAGAAAAATAAGAAGGATTAAAAAAAACATTTCTTAAATTTTCTTCCAGTATGAGGGATGAATTTCCAGACTGAAAAGAATCCACCCAGTGCCCAGCAAAATGAATACTGAAAAAGTTCATACCAACATTCAATGAAACTTCCAAATATCAGCAACACAACAATTATTAAAAGAAAAAAGAAAAAGGAAAAGGAAGAGGGGGCAGAATCCTTTCTAAGGAAGGGCAATGAGCACAGCACAGATCCAAGGCCCCTCTGTAGGTGACAGGTGGTTCTTAAACTTCACTGAAAATTGGAATCGCCTGGGATAGTCCAAATAGTGATGGCTAACTGAACCAGAAATCTTGAGTGAGGCCCAGGCATCAGTAGTTCTTAAAACTGTATGGATAATTCAGAAGCCACAGAGAGATGCTTCTAAATTTCTGATGAAAGTGATCTTCAACTTGGAATGTATAGGCACAGCTAAATTATTGATCAAATGTGAACACTGAAGACTGTTTAAGATCCACAAAGTCTCAAAATTTTACCCTTTTTTGTAATCTTTCTCAGAAAGACTGCCAAAATGAGAAAGTAAACAGGAAAGATAATAATAGGAAACTACAGGGCCCTGGGGTGGGGGTGAAAACTGGGACATAAAATTAGATTGCCTGGTGTGTTTGAACATATTAACATTATGCAGATTATGAAAATTCTACAGTACTGTCAAAAATTTTAAGTTGAATTAGAACGGTAACAAAACACTAAAGGGCACAAAAAAAAAAAGTCTATAATTTACAAACACCAGGACAAGGGGCTGGAGAGATGGCTAGCAGAGTGAAGAGTACTGGGTGTTCTTCCAGAGGGCCTGGGTTTGGTTCCTAGCACCCACATGGTGGCTAACATTGATCCTAACTACTGTTCTAGGGACTGGTCATCCTCTTCTGGCTTCCATGAGCACCAGGCACCAATGTGGTACATTTACATACATGCAAGCAAAATACTCATACCGGTAAAAAGTAAAATAAAAATAAAATTAAAAAAAAATAACAACAGCAAATTCTAGGACAAACAAAATGCTGTAGAGACAGGTAACTACCAAAGCACAGTGTGTAGCTTAGCTTTCAACAATAGACAATATCATGTAACCAACAAATCCTGACACTGAAAATGTAGAATAGCACCAAGGAGATAAACATGGGCATAGTCAAGAGTACAAAAGAGTGAATTCTTCTTCCAAAGTAGGAAACAAACACAAACACCTACAAACAGTAGGGTAAGTGTACTCAACCAAAATGCGGACATAAAAGATGTAACAGCAGGAATAAGAAACTAGTAGCTCCAGAAACTGACTGGTCACAGGTTTCAGGGAGATCTATGTTGAATTTAAAAGCCTATATAATTTTCACACTCCAAAGAGCATGCTATGAAGGGCTTTAATTCTGTGCAGTCACTTCTTTATTTTCCTAGACAAATGAGTCAGAAAACAGGGCATAAAACATTCTTTCTGTAGATTCTTAAGAAGGAAATCAAAGATCTAAGAAAAAGCCTATTTCAAAAGTGTAGGTCTGTCATCCAAAAAGCTGTCTTAGATTATGCAGTTTAAGAAAGTTTCTGAGCTAGGCATGGTGGCCGCACGCCTTTAATCCCAACACTTGGGAGGCACAGGCACGTGGAACTCTGTGAGTTCAAGGCCAGCCTGGTCTACATAGCAAGTTCCAGGCCAGCTGGGGCTACAGGGAAACCCTGTCTTAAAAAGATCAAAAAGTAAAAATAAAAAGAAGAAATTTTCTGGTAAAATATTGTATACTAGTATGTAATATTCCAATAAAATTGTTTACTTTGACATTCATATCATACAATAAATTCATTCATGGACAAAAGAATGCTATAACAACCCAAGATACCCCAACTGACAGTTTTCAGCTTTAAATCCAAAATTAACCATTGCAATGATTAAGATAATATGCAGACAGAATATAATAAAAAATATGAAAAAGCACTAACTTCACAATCAGAACAGTATAAATTTTTTTTTCTTCTAACAAGCATGGTCAATACGATTCATCAAAATGCTTTGTTATTTTCCTCCAAATTACCAATAATTTCAGACATCCAATACTTGGTTGCTCTTTTAAATTTCTTTAATCACACCTGTTACACTGCATTTTAATTTCTGGCTTGTCTCTAATCCTGTACACACTCTTGCTCAGGAAGGTTTGGTCCAGAATTTCTCCTGTTCTTTATTATTCCTATCATCGTGCAACATAGAGTCTGACACACAGGAAACACCACAAAACTGTTTTAGATGAATGAACAAATACATTACTGGACTTCGGTATCTTTTACCCTTTATTTTTTCTTATAAAGGCAATGCTTAAATACAAGGCAAATTAGTATTTCACAGACAAAAAAAGAAGTGAATGGACAAGTACCTTTCAATGAGTGTCCCATTTTGAATCATCCAAACATCACAATATGTTCGAGATACCAGCATAACAGCAATAAGTATCAAGTATCCTGTCTAAAATAAACCAAGTATGGTAAACTTTCTAATTTTAAAAAGTTAAAAGAAACAATACCTTGGAGATTATTTTTAGTTTCAAAATTCAAAGCTTTAATCTAACAACACTTTACATTTTATTAAAAGTACATTTTATCTATGAGTAATTTTAAATACAGTTTAAAGGGAACTTAAGATTATAACATATATGCTAGAGAACTTATAGATCAATCTTTCTCATCTACAATTCAATGAGTCCAGACCAGTCAACTGACTTGCTTTCACACAAAAGTCAATGGCAGAAACTAGAGATGTAACGTAGATTACCTGAATTAGTATGCTGTAACTTTCTTCTATTTTTAATATATTGTTTTAACAAAGAGCGATGGTAATGGTTACTATATTAACTGAACAAACTACCAAATAATGAAGCCAAAAAAAAAACCGAATAAATGAGTTTCAACTTGTTTTTTAAAAAATCTCCAATACTGTCCCTGTTTTCATAGGACTTTCAACTTGAGCTATTAAGGCAAAATTTATACATAAAAAATAACAAATTGAGGCAAGCATATTTGTATAACGTCTTATAAGTGTTAGGATGAGACGGTCTGGAAGAGCAAAAGCAGCCATGGCATTACAAACCAAGTAAAACAAAGATTAAGGGCTGAAAAAAAATGAGATCTGACAGAAAAAAGGGATTAAAACCACACGATGCAACCACATGTTGCTTATCCAGCAGGTTTAGATAATATGAAATTATTGTAAGCTTCCAGTAAGTAGAAAAGATGTTAAAAAGTGATGAGTAGGGAATGCTGCTTTAGCAATACTGGGGAAGACTGATTATGAATTATCAAGAGGGCTAGAGAGATGGCTCAGTGGTTAAGAGCACTAGCTGCTCTTGCAGAGAACTCAAGTTTGGCTTCTAGCACCCACAGGATGGCTAACAATCATCTATAACCAATTCCAGGGCATCCAACACCCTCTTCTAGTTCTATAAGCACTGCATGTACAGCACTTATATACATTGCAGGCAAAATACTCATACACATAAAAATTCAAACAACACAACAAAAGAATGGAGAGGTGAGAGGCTCTCTAAATTGGAAAATTATGAAAGTAACCTAGAAGCAAACATCACGAAAGAAGGCTTTTAGGGAAAGAGATTTGTTGGTTGCTATGTTACTAGAGTGAAGGACAATTGACTCTATTACTTATACAAATTTTATGACAAATATTTTTTAAAAGAGAAGATATGGAAGTGTCACTCTTTAAATGAAAGGAAGAGATTTAAAGCACAGAAGCAGTGCATGAAGTCATAAGTTATCAAAGAAAGTCTGTGTGAATGAGCTGTGACATCTGCTACTGCTTGTTTGCCAGAGTTAGCATTCAAGAAAGATCATCTTCCCATCATCTCCTATAATCTGAAGTTAGGTATTCAACTGACAACAGAAGATATATTCATTTTAATAAATGTTCACTATAGATGTCAGTTTAACTGTAATCTTAACTTTTTTTTTTCCATACAACCAGCTTATTTCCTAAAAATGAAGAACTCAGATACTATTTGGGGTATCTTAAAAACATATTTAAACAAATATCAAGAAGCAACCCTCAAACATATCCTATATTAACATGACTTATTAACATCTCAATGTAATAAACAAGTTTCTGCCGCTTTAATCATGTTTCTGTCAATAGTTTCAATAGAAGAACACAGCATTCCAGGTAGTTGACTGCCATATTCTAGCATTTCACACAGAATAGAATGAAGCTGACTCTTATAAACAAGAGAGTATTTAAAAACTGGCGCTGATCCAGACTGCCTGCACCAAAGGTGACAATTTATAGACAAATAAGTAGACTTCTTTACTTACCCAGAAAACATCTGACCTGAAATACTATGGTTTACTATTCTGATCTCATGACCCTTGAAAGTTGAACACTTGGCCTTACAATTTCGTAAGTCTTACCTCTTTACAAAATGTTCTAGGGACCATGATTTTCAGGATCTGTGAGAGCCTTGATAAAAACACCTTGTCCACCACAGCTCGCTCTTTTTTCCCTTCTTTCTACATTTAGGGGAGGGAAAAAAACGACCTTTTAGATAGCTGCAATGAATGTATAATGGTTACAGAACCACATTTCATATCAACGTAGACAGTTTCATTTAGAGAGTACAGACTTGAGCAGTTTGTCACATTCAAACAGCTACCAAACAAACAATTATCTAGGCACTAAAAAGGAGGTGAGATGTAATGTTCAAAAGAACAGCACAAGTAGAAGAAAAAGCCAGGGAAAAAATAATTAGGTGAAGCATGTTAAGTGCGTAAGAGACAACAAAGTGGCCGGTGTGGATGAAGCTGTGTGAAGTGCACGACAGTGAATGAGGTCTCACAGTGAAGTGGTCAAGTATTTACTGATTCACTTTATTTTTTGCAATGATAGAGACTGAACACAGGGTCTCATCATGGTAGATATGCATTCTATACTGTTTCATATTCCCAGCCTCCACACCTTAATTCATAGAAACTTTTTTTTAAAAAATCCTGAACAGGATGTGCTCTAATATCAATAAGAAACTTGCAGATTCCTAGACTTCTCATTTAACAAGTGATCATTCTCTCTTCCTCATAAATTCAAAGGTTCTTTACAGTTCATATTCTAGCAGAGGAAACACAGACAAAAGTAAACCAAGAAATAATTATAAATAGACTAGGCAGGGACATGACAAAAAGAATAGTTCAGGCAAGAAGACACAAAAGATCTCCTGACATTTAAGGTGATA